TCACAGGCACAGATTCTTCGAAACAGATGTACGAGGATGGAGATATTGTCTTCTGTAAGTTCAGGGATTCGCATTTTGTGCTTGATTTATGGATGCTGTGAATGTATTTGGTGTTTTTTTTTTTTTCTTTTATATGAATGGGGGAAGGGGGGGTTGTTTCTTTAGTTAGGTGTGTTCATCATTCATATTTCAGACAATTTATTTAATCACAGTTATAATAAGCCCATAAAGATAAGTATTAAGTAATCCTTTTGATTATATTTGAGTATAGTCTGTTCTTAATTCTTGTTATATCATGTGATCTTCGTTTTAAGACACTTGTGCAGTAAACACGTGTTAAAGGATGTTATATCTATAAATAGCTTATCAATAAAGGTAGAAAGTTTTGAATATCATTTACATTTTACTTTGATTTTTATTTTTAAGATAATGTAACTAATTATTCATCCAATATGCAAAGACTAATATTATTTTGAGTTTTGTTCTATTTTTGTTTCATTTTGCTCTATCAGTATGTAATGTGCAAAGATTAAGTACTCAGTTCTTCAAGTTGCAAGTTTCAAGTTTCATTGCAGTGGTTTGGCCAGAGAGGAGCAAATGGGCAGTTACAAAGCTGGGTGGCATAGGTTAAAGGGGTATCATTTGTATAGGGTTAGTCATGGCTCATCATAACAACCCCTCGATGGAGCCTTTGCTAAGTCTTCCTATGGTTATGTTTGGTTTAATTGTACTTTTAACCAAAGCAGGAAGTTTAGCAGAACACGAAAATTGTTCTCTTTATTTTGCAGCTTATGAGGCTTGCATAGTGTAAAAGAATTATGTAAATCTAAACTTTCAGGTAATAGGTAATAGGCTCTTTATAACCTTCCTTTTACTGAATGTAATGTAATGAGCAATAGATTTGGCAGATGTCATAAAATAACTTTTGTTCATAATGGTAATGGCTGTGTTCTGTCCAGATTCACAAGAAAAAATGCTGTGACTTCTGTTTGAGGGGCATACAAGCTTTTGTTCAACCTTGCAATGGTGCAGTGTCATGTGATTCCTGCATCCTCTGCCCTTTGCACTTTGGCAGCAATAACAAACCTCCAGCATATATATTCTGACAATATAGAGCTTGAACTGGTTCTTGATTTGAAGATAAATCATTAGAGGCATCTGCAAGCTCTGCCTTCTCAGAATATATATGTTGGTGGTTTGTTAACTACAGATGCCATGCCAAACAGTGCAAGGCTAGTAACAGATGCACATATGTCTTTTAAACATATATTTATTTAAGTTTTATTTGTGTTTTTTTCCACTTAAAGGCAACATATGAGTAGTGATTACATCATTTCCTCTTTAATTGTAAAGAAAAACACAAGTCATTTAGGCTAACTGATGTGTTACAGGAAATGCAATTATAATTTTCTTTGTTCATTTCTGTCTTTTAAATTTCTGTGTTTGTGACTGCTATTCACTTGCCTTTATTTATCTTTCTGTGTTTATATTTTGATTATCTATAGTTTTGTGTCTTTACTAATGTTTTCGTATCTGTCTATACCTCTTCCCATCAATGTCAAATTGTCTGGGTATCAGTGTCTCACTTACTTCATAGTAAATAAAGGATTTAACCCTCTATAGACTATAGTTCCACAGGTTATCTTTATTATCTGAAGAATTTTATTCTACACAAAAGGAAATTTATGTTACATGCTCTTATGTCAAGTATTTACTGAAGAGTGGAGCATCAGATTTGAAATAGATATTCTGTGAAGATGAGAGAAAAATGGAAAAACTTCTTACTTACTTCATTTGGCTTAAAAATTATATATCATTTTTCTTAATTTTGTGTACAAATGAAAAAACAAAATAATATTCCAGCTAAGCCACTCCTGTAAGCAGCTGTATCCTCGGGGAAGGACCAGTGGGTGGATTAGTGGGTTAGGGGGTTAGTCTACGCAAAGATTCAGTTTGAAGGAGAAGCTACCAAAACATACTGCAATTGGATAGCTGTTTGTGTCCTTGAAGCTGAAAGTAAGATACCAGATGGTACCAGATTTAATTGTTCACCCTCATACCAAAATAAAATTAAGGTGGGAGAACAGCCTGCTAGTTGTTAATAGCCGATGCTCTGTAAGCTGTTAAGGGAACGTTACACATAACATCAAAAGGGGACAACTTAGATTTTAGGGGTTAATCATACTGCCTTAAAGTTTTCTTTCAATATAATCATGTAAGTTACTGAAGTATTATTTATTCACGGAATGGTCAGTAACAAAAAATTTCCATCTCACCAGGCAAGAACAATGTATGTGTCCACCCTCCATCACGTTACCGATGCGATGGGGAGAGAGTCCACCATCCTGGCTACCTAGTAATCAAATGCCGGGCTGACAGCACTCTGGGCACAACACTCCACCTCAACTGGATCCCTAATGACCGCCTGCGCCGAAACCATGAGCTGATTTCACAGATGAAGTATGTGGGGTTAGTTTTGCCACGACAGCCGTTTCTTAGGGTATAATTGTCTCGGTACACCTTAGATCTTTGTAGATGTTCAGATGAATAATTAGACTTTATTGTAGGTATTTTAGATCATGATAGATAGAATAATAAGCAGAGAATTAGAACAATTATCATAACCACAAACTCCCACACCACTTGAAAAATTAACATGCCGTGATTGTTCCCTAACAGCCTGGAGGGCAGCAGCTCCAGCAACTCGCCCTGCCCAACCTCAGACTCGGAATCTCTCTCCGTCTCGTCCTTGGTGCTGCACGACGGGAACAGCACGGTGAGAAAGGTGAGTTGTGAGGTGGTTTAGTGATGAGGTGTATTTGTGGGTGGGAAAGCAACTTGTACTGAAAATAGGTACTTTGAAAGCTCAGGCAACAGTGTTAGTCTGCTCCTGGATGTCTCTTTAGGTTTTCAGGTAGCACTCATGTTTCTTGCATTTTATTTTTATTTTTATTTTTCAGATGAATAATTAAACTTTATTGTAGGTATTTTAGATCATGATAGATAGAATAACAAGCAGAGAATTAGAACAATTATCATAACCACAAACTCCCACACCACTTGAAAAATTAACATGCCATGATTGTTCCCTAACAGCCTGGAGGGCAGCAGCTCCAGCAACTCGCCCTGCCCAACCTCAGACTCGGAATCTCTCTCCGTCTCGTCCTTGGTGCTGCACGACGGGAACAGCACGGTGAGAAAGGTGAGTTATGGGGTGGCTTAGGTATGAGGTGTATTTGTGGGTAGGAAAGCAACTTGTAATGAAAATTGGTACTTTGAAAGCTGAGGCAACAGTGTTAGTCTGCTCCTGGACGTCTCTTTAGGTTTTCAGGTAGCACTCATGTTTCTTGCATTTTTTTTTTTTTTTTTTTTTTTTTTTTATTTAATTAATTTATTTATTTATTTATTTATTTATTTATTTATTTATGTGTGCTACATGTTTGTGGTGTAGGATTCTTGCACTTGAGAGAAAGAGGGGGTTGTGAAAGAAAATATAGAGGAATAAAAGGGCATTTCTCTTTCAATCTTTCCTTTTTTTGTTACTGTCTTTTCCGTCCTTCTCTTTCTCTTATTAATTTCCGGTTATTTTTATAATTTCTTTACTTTCTCTATTCTGTCTTTCATTTTTCATGATACAAATGTTTATTTATTTATTTATTTATGTTATTATATACTATATATTAAGTTTTTGTGCAAGGAAGATATCTGTTATTGTTTCATGTAAAAGATTACTTATTTACTTAATTACTGATTAGTGAATTACTGTCAGAAGTTGGTCAACTAAACAATAGTCTTAACTTTGATACAAACTTAAACTAAATACAGTTTGTTTTCCTAATATACAATGGAACTGACAGTGTTTGAAAGCTTGTAATTCTTTTTATAGAATTGTGTTTGTGGCATTCATGTTTCTTTTTTATTTTCTTATTCTTTTCATTGCTATGTTGTTGTTTTTTTCTTTTTTTTCTTTGCTTTGCTTTGCTTTACTTGCATCTCTATATGTAAGAAGAAAATATATATCATTCCTTGATTTTATATTTAAGAGAATTATTTGCCTTGCAGACCTCGTTGGATGATGCAGCCATGTCCACATCTGGCATTTCGTCAATGGACACAGCAAGTGAGGTCACGCAGCCCAAGGACGAGAATAGCCCTAACAGTGAAGGAAGCAGCAGTGTAGAGCAGCCTAAAGAAAAAGATGAGGGAGATGGAGAAGAAACAATAGAAAGTGGAGACCCAAGTAGTGAGGAGAGAGACGTGGGAAGAAATGAAGAAGGGGAAGGAGAGAGAAATGACGAGTGGGCCGCGGGAGAGAACGAAGAGAAAAGGGGCGAGGACACGGGAGAAGAGAAGGGGGCGAAGAGCATCTCGGACGAAGAGGAGAACACCGAGACAGGGGACGAGATAACCAAAGATTCCCAGGAGAGCGAGCAGAGCGACCTCCTGGCCAGCAACGAAGAAGGGGCGGAAGACCGGGACGACGAAGACAGCAGAGAAGACTCGGGCAGCTCGGGGGACGCGGAAGAGGTCGACAAGGAAGGGACACTGCGGGCGAGGGACATGCACAAGCTCAGATACATATCGTCGGACAGCAGCTCGGACGGAGAGAAGCCCGCAGAGACTCTGACCTATCGCCAACGGGAAGGGAAATCCGTTGCAGGGACGTCAACTGCAAAGTGAAGGTGAAGATAGTCTAGACTCCTCTCCTGAACCCCAGTTGTCTCCTACTCCTCATTACTTCACATCGTCTAGTGGTACGTCTTGTAGATCGTCATTGTTGTCTTTTGGTTTTTGTTTTACCTTTTGTTTGTATCGCTTATTTTCCCTTATCCTCTGGCATTTGATTTTCTTTTTCTTTTATTCCTCTTTCTATGGTTTTTCTTTGTTTATTTACCGTACAATGGGCTCCTTTTCTCTACCATGCTATTCAGTATCCTTAGATATTACTATTCTTTATACAGTTATTATCCTTCTCTCTCTCTCTCTCTCTCTCTCTCTCTCTCTCTCTCTCTCTCTCTCTCTCTCTCTCTCTCTCTCTCTCTCTCTCTCTTTCTTTCAGTATATTATAATATTTGATTTTTCCAACTCCTTTACTCCATGAAATACATTCTTGTGCCCTTTGCATGTTATTTTCTGATTCAGCTTCTTTTCAGATGGTTTATTTCCTGTAGTTTGGCTGGTTCTAGTCCAGTTTAAGAATGAGTATACTGCATCTTCTGAGGTTGTAGGATATGTTATTATTTTTTTTTTTTATCTGCAGAATAATCTTTTCATTTGATGCACTACGCTTGTCCACGGCATGTTACTGTTTACAAAGGAGATGATAACATATTGATTTTAGTTTGATAACTTGGATTCTGGAATGTAATAAATGCCATTTAGATTATTGTGACATGTTTGTGTAAGTATCTTAGGGAATGAAAACCCTGCTTTGAAGTTATTAAGGGATGCTGATGTGAAAAGTCTATGCTAATGTTTTTTTCTTTTTTTCTTTTTTTCTTTTTTTCTTTTTTTTTTTTTTTTTTATTTAATTAATTTATTTATTTATTTATTTATATTATAATATACTATATATTCAGTTTCTGTGCAAGGAAGATATCTGTTATTGTTTCATCATGTAAAAGATTACTTGTTTACTTAATTACTGACTTGTGAATTACTATCAGAAGTTGGTCAACTAAACAATAGTCTTAACTTTGATACGAACTTAAACCGAATACAGTTTGTTTTCCTAATATACCATGGAACTGATGGTGTTTGAAAGCTTGTAATTCTTTTTATAGAGTTGGGTCTGTGGCATTCATGTTTCCTTTTTTCTTTATTTTCTTACTCTTTTCATTGCTATGTTGTTGTTTTTTTCTTTTTTTCTTTTTTTTCTTTGCTTTGCTTTGCTTTACTTGCATCTCTATATGTAAGAAGAAAATATATATCATTCCTTGATTTTATATTTAAGAGAATTATTTGCCTTGCAGACCTCGTTGGATGATGCAGCCATGTCCACATCTGGCATTTCGTCAATGGACACAGCAAGTGAGGTCACGCAGCCCAAGGACGAGAATAGCCCTAACAGTGAAGGAAGCAGCAGTGTAGAGCAGCCTAAAGAAAAAGATGAGGGAGATGGAGAAGAAACAATAGAAAGTGGAGACCCAAGTAGTGAGGAGAGAGACGTGGGAAGAAATGAAGAAGGGGAAGGAGAGAGAAATGACGAGTGGGCCACGGGAGAGAACGAAGAGAAAAGGGGCGAGGACACGGGAGAAGAGAAGGGGGCGAAGAGCATCTCGGACGAAGAGGAGAACACCGAGACGGGGGACGAGATAACCAAAGACTCCCAGGAGAGCGAGCAGAGCGACCTCCTGGCCAGCAACGAAGAAGGGGCGGAAGACCGGGACGACGAAGACAGCAGAGAAGACTCGGGCAGCTCGGGGGACGCGGAAGAGGTCGACAAGGAAGGGACACTGCGGGCGAGGGACATGCACAAGCTCAGATACATATCGTCGGACAGCAGCTCGGACGGAGAGAAGCCCGCAGAGACTCTGACCATCGCCAACGGGAAGGGAAATCCATTGCAGGGACGTCAACTGCAAAGTGAAGGTGAAGATAGTCTAGACTCCTCTCCTGAACCCCAGTTGTCTCCTACTCCTCATTACTTCACATCGTCTAGTGGTACGTCTTGTAGATTGTCATTGTTGTCTTTTGGTTTTTGTTTTACCTTTTGTTTGTATCGCTTATTTCCCCTTATCCTCTGGCATTTGATTTTCTTTTTCTTTTATTCCTCTTTCTATGTTTTTTCTTCGTTTATTTACCGTACAATGGGCTCCTTTTCTCTACCATGCTATTCAGTATCCTTAGATATTACTAGTCTTTATACAGTTATTATCCTTCTCTTTCTCTCTCTCTCTCTCTCTCTCTCTCTCTCTCTCTCTCTCTCTCTCTCTCTCTCTCTCTCTCTCTCTCTCTCTCTTTCTTTCAGTATATTATAATATTTGATTTTTCCAACTCCTTTACTCCATGAAATACATTCTTGTGCCCTTTGCATGTTATTTTCTGATTCAGCTTCTTTTCAGATGGTTTATTTCCTGTAGTTTGGCTGGTTCTAGTCCAGTTTAAGAATGAGTATACTGCATCTTCTGAGGTTGTAGGATATGTTATCTAATGTTTTTTTTCTTTTTTTCTTTTCTTTCTTTCTTTCTTTCTTTCTTTCTTTCTTTCTTTCTTTCTTTCTTTCTTTCTTTCTTTCTTTCTTTCTTTCTTTCTTTCTTTCTTTCTTTCTTTCTTTCTTTCTTTCTTTCTTTCTTTCTTTCTTTCTTTCTTTCTTTCTTTCTTTCTTTCTTTCTTTCTTTCTTTCTTTCTTTCTTTCTTTCTTTCTTTCTTTCTTTCTTTCTTTCTTTCTTTCTTTCTTTCTTTTTTTTTTTTTTTATCTGCAGAATAATCTTTTCATTTGATGCACTACGCTTGTCCACGGCATGTTACTGTTTACAAAGGAGATGATAACATATTGATTTTAGTTTGATAACTTGGATTCTGGAATGTAATAAATGCCATTTAGATTATTGTGACATGTTTGTATAAGTATCTTAGGGAATGATAACCCTGCTTTGAAGTTATTAAGGGATGCTGATGTGAAAAGTCTATGCTAATGTTTTTTTTCTTTTTTTTTTTTTATCTGCAGAATAATCTTTTCATTTGATGCACTACGCTTGTCCACGGCATGTTACTGTTTACAAAGGAGATGATAACATATTGAATTTAGTTTGATAACTTGGATTCTGGAATGTAATAAATGCCATTTAGATTATTGTGACATGTTTGTATAAGTATCTTAGGGAATGATAACCCTGCTTTGAAGTTATTAAGGGATGCTGATGTGAAAAGTCTATGCTAATGTTTTTTTTCTTTTTTTCTTTTCTTTTCTTTCTTTCTTTCTTTTTTTCTGTCAAAAAGAATTAGTATAGTCAGGTCTTTGTGTCTTAGAGTTTTAGCATTTATTTTTTAGGTCACTCATTAATTAATAACAAAAGATATTGGGACAATTTGCTTTTAATATTGCTATTTCATATCTTGAAAAAAGTTATTTTGATTTTGAAGTGACCTCTTTACAGTGAGTTAAGGTTTTATACATTCTAAAGCCATTGTAAGACTTCTGAGATTTGAAATATTACTCTGTAAGCATTTGATATTAGTAACTCAGCCAACAATGATAGTAGGCAGTTATATATCTTATAGAAAATCGTCACTAGGCTTACTAGGAAAAAAAAAAGGATATAAAACTGGGTAATTAGCTAGTAAAAGAGAGGATATGGTGAAATGTGGTTGGTTGCAATATTCACAATTGTCTCTGTCTTGTGATGCCTTCAATATGACTACAGTCTATGGGTTTCATTATTGAAAGAAAGATACACACTCATATTCAGAGACGCTGGGGACATCTTGGTGGAGAACAGGACCGGCATCTTGCAACCGTCCACCAATCACTGTTACCTTGGATGTGATTGGCTGTTGGGTGCGAGATGCCAGTCTGGCTCTCATATCTAAGGTATCCCAAGTGTCTCTAGATATGAGTGATAGATAGGATTCAAGGCAGATGACAAGAAATCATTAAAAGCAGGTTAAGGTGTTTTGATATTTTAGTGCTTGTGTGAGTGTGCTTTTTTTTTTTCAATTTTATTTATTAGTTTTTCATAAGATAGACAAATGGATTCTTTATTTGAATATTTTTGATATATATGGGCTGCTGCCATAAACCTGTGAGGAGAGCAATTGCTGCAGAGCTCTTGCATCATCTGTTTTATTCTGTAGTTGCAAAAAAACACAGTGTGCTGTTTATTTCAATGGGTAAACCTGTGCATTATTAGCCAGTGCTTTTGACTTGTTTTTAGATATCTGCAAAGTTTTGATATGATAGTATGATTTTTTTTATCTCATTTATTCTCCCAAATAGATTAGATTTATTTGTATTTATTTTTCTCTATGATGTTTTGGTAATAGTATAAACCACATTGAGTTTACATATTGATGAAATTTTCATTAAATATCACATATTAACTTTGAAATCTTACTCAGTTTACTTGGATCCATACAGTCGCTTCCATTTGAGTTGCTGAAATGCAATGAAATGTTTGAGGGAGAAAGGCAGTAAACGTATAAACTGACAAGGAGTTTGCTTTTGTAATACTGCCTCTGTCATGTAGCCCATTCACTCGGCCACAGAATATCAGTTTTTCCAGTTACCGGAACATACAGTTATTGCCGTTGGTTTGTGTATGCCTTTTTCTCCTCGATTTCAGCCCTATGAATCAGTCACCAATAAGAATGGAGAAATTACCACTGGCTTCTCTTGCCTCATGATCTCAGTCTCGGATTTTGTAAGTTCAGACCTTAGATTCAGGCATATAGAACTAGTTGTTATTACTAGTTATTCTTAATTCTTACTGTGTCCCTCAAATAACAAGTAAGAGAACACATCAGGTTTCCTCTTTCTTCTGCATTGCTTTGTACATTTTAGAGGGGGGAAAAAAAACTTGCAAACACTTGGAGACACTAAACGTTTGTGCTTTATGCTGTCTAGATGATGTTAGAACTACCTTCTAGTGAGCTTTAGTATAGATCTCTTTCAGGAACGACTATGGACTGACTCTTATGCACTAGATTATTTGGCTTGCAGAGAAGCTGGCTAATCTGTTGCATATTTTGATATGACCTTTGTGTTAGTTGCTGTGATTATTGAAAGAGTGTGCATGGGGACACAGTGTGATTTTTTTTTTTTTTTTTTTTTTTTTTTTTTTTTTTTTTTTTTTTTTTAATTTCCTCTCTTTTACTCTGGTCCCCTGTCATCCATTGTAGCTCTCTCTCATCTTTCTTCTTCTTTTCTATCTTTACTTGCCTCACTGACTCTTTTTGTCTGTCTTGTCTCTTCCTTCTCGCAGTTTCTCTGTCTTCTCTCCTTATTCTCAGCTCTTCCCTCTTTCTTTCATCTCTTTTATCTCTTCCATTGTCATCCTACCTATTTATCAACAGTTGATTTTACAATTATTCTTCCAACCATTATTTCATATCCCCATATGCAAATTCCTCAGTGGCACTAATAGATTAAAGTTAGGTGCACAGAGGGAATTAGATTTTATTTTTTCTACAGGGAGATGAAGGGACACAAGAGAGTGAGAATACATTCATAGGAATTCACAGGATATACTTAATATAAAGAGGTTAAGCAACTCTCATTACTCACCTGAAAATGGTAAATGGAGATGGGATGTTGCCTTGAATTAGTCTTGAGAATAGGAAGAGTTAAGAGCAGATGCTACTGTTGGAGAGGAGAGTGCTTTGATAGAGTGATAACTGATAAACGAGGATCATAATGCAAGACACATTGGATCTGTTGTCCACTTGAGGATGATAATGCAAAGGAAGATGATGGTGGAGGAATAGATTAAGCTTGTATTATATGTGATGGGAGTGGAGAATTAGAAAAAGAACTTGGGTGCCCATAAAAGGGATTAGCAAAGTTTGCATAGGATTGAAAATACGGTCATTGAAAATAGTATCCATATTAGGAAATAATTAAAGAGTGTATGATTTTTGCAACATACTGTAAAATAAAGAAGTGGCACTGAAATGTATTACACTCCCTCTCTCTCTTCTTCCTTTCATCCCTCATTTCCTTCTTGCCTCATACATCTTTTGTTCTTTCACTTTCTCATTTCTTTATCTTTCATCTCTTTTCCTTTTTCCTCTCTGTCTTTTTTTCCATTTCCTTATCTTTTCTTAATCTCTTCTAATATTTATTCATATATTGCATATTTCTTAACTGTTAATTTATCTTTGAAAGTTGATAAGCTCCCAAAAGAAAAGGAAAAAATATTGTATGTGATTCCCAGACCATTAGCATTTCCAATCTGTTAATTACCTTTTCTATTATAGTATATCTCTTGGTAAGTATTCTACATTAGATTGTTCTTCATCTGCTTATAAGGAAATTTCCCAAAAAAGTATTTGGGGGAAATGAATTGTATTTCATTATTTTCTGCTGCATATAAGAAATAATTTTAAAACAGTTTGTTTTATTCAGTTTTATGCATATACTAACATATGAACGTGTGTGCGTGCGTGTGTGTGTGTGTGCGTGAGTGTGTTTCTTCATGTATGTGTGTATACTTATGTATATGTGCTTGTGTGTGCATGTATATATGCAGTACATGTGTGTTTGATAATTTTTAAACACCAGTGTATCATACACGGCATACCAAATTAAGAGTAGCTACAGAAATATCTAAATCATCCCCTGTTTAAATAGGCATGATTAGATTAGCACTGAAGTAATAGGAGTACCAGCTCTTTGTTTCTCTTCTGATAGTAAAGATTATTTGTCCACAATGGTTATTTTTTACGGAGATTTTGATCAATAGTTTTGCGTTGTCTTAAACAGGGTGCTTCTAGCGTGAAATGTAAAACTGGTAATTTTCTGCCATTTATATATTTGTCTTTTTATGACATGAATATTTTCACTGCGATAGGTGTTGTGATGATATTGTTACTATTATCATTACCATTGTTTTTTATATTGTTATTATTATTGTTGATATTGTTATTGTTATTATTATTATTGGTATTATCATTATTATTATTAATATCATCATCATTATCATTACTATTATGATCATTATTATTGATACTGTTATTGATATTATTATTATTATTATTATTATTATTATTATTATTATTATTATTACTATTACAAATATTGTTACATTTTTTATCATCATCATCATCATAAATATTATTTTCTTCTTAACCTTTTCCCATGTTTTATAATTATTAGCTGAACAGTCTATTATGTACAACTTTTTAAACACCTGTAACTGAATGCACAAACAGAAGCCACTGAGAGTTTCCACTAACTCCTGAACCGAAATTCCTTCCAGCACACAAGTATATTACCTTTTTTTTTTTCCATCATTCCAGGCCTCATTTCCCCTCCCAGCTCCATTTCATCCTCTTCTCCCTGGGACGAAAACTAAGACCCCATCTGTTCTTCTTCCGCACACAGGAGATCAGTATTGGTACGAAAGGAGCGCAGAGTCGATGGCCTACTCAGCCAACCTCGCCTTCCCCGATTCGTCTCTCTCCTCCTTCTGCCCGACACCTGTAGACGGAGGGTCCTCGCCCATCAGGAGGGAACACAAGTGTGGCATATTCAGCATTGACGTCAGTGAGTACCGCTCGCATCGTGAGCTGTGGTATTGTGCTTGTTGGCTTTTATTTTCATGTATAGAAGTATGGGTATATGTATGTATATTTATTTATGTGTTTGTTAATGTATATATTTATGTATAAGAAAATGTAAGCTATCATCAGTCTTTCAAGTATACCAGAGCCTTGATTAACCCAGTGAGTGCGGCAAGACTAGAATGCCATGCCCACTGTAATAAAAGTTTTATATATTGTCTTTACACATTGATTGCTCTACAAGTGCTTAGCCATCAAGGAGTCAGCTATTAGTCTTACCTATCTCATCTGTTTACCCTTTCCCTTCATTTTTTGAAAGATTCACTTTTGTTGTTTTATTGTCATTGATGTTATTAATATTTTAATAACAATTTGATACTCATAATATCAGTAAGAATGATAACAATATCAATATTAGTAGTATTGGAAAGAAAAATGTATTTTCCCGCCAATTCAAGGAATGGAGAAATCAGGATCGTTCATTAGGGCCAACGGATAGACTCCTTACTGCTGAGCACACGTGGAGCCATCAGATACATTCAGAACACCCTGACAAAGACCGTTGCAGCCATTTCCTTCTAACTAATTTCTGTCTTCAGAGTGTGATGTGGCCATAAGTTTAGATGTTGATTAATATAATTGGGAGTGTAGTGATAGGAAAATTTTGCAGTCTCTTGAGTATAGTAGGTATATTTTGGCAACAAATGATATGATGATATGAATGGAAGAATATCTAGATACTATTTTGGTGCATAAGAAAAGTTTTTTTA